AAACAAAGCCTTGAAGCATAATAAAACATATGAAGTGGCCTGGTTTTCTCGTATCAGCTGATACGAAGGCAGGTAATAAATTGCATGTATGAAATAAATGCTAGGTAAAGCTTCTGTAGAATTGGTGGGAGTCTGCCTTTCCTCATAAAATAACTAGTTTTTGTCTGGTAAAGTGGTTGTTAGCTTTGGCAGTGGTTCTGTGCAGTCAAACATTTTGCTTAATTTGATGGAAATAAAGAAAAATTGATGCTATGTGTATAAATTGTCATTAGTTATGCTGCTTTCCTCAGGACGCTCAGTAAGGGTACCGAGTGTGAGCCCCAGCTCACAGAGGAGGAAGCTGATACACACAGGGAACTAGATAAGGGGTCAGGGACAATATAAATCAGAATAAGAATTAGAAGTTTACAGCACACAAAATGGTCCATGTCCTAGTTTTAGTGCTGGCTTTTTCATACATGTTTTTCTTAAAGCATTGACTACTGGAGTCATACTGACTTTCAGTTTTTATTTAAAAAAAAAAACAACTTAACTGGTAGTCTTCACAATTCAAAGAAAAGCTAGAAAGTCAGATGGGAGAGTAGTCTGTGAATAAAGATAAAAGCAGTAGTGGTTTGTTTTAATTTCCTTATTTTTTAGTCTGTCTTATCACTCCTAGGAGTCACAGATCTGAATACTTCAGATCTACTGAACACCTATGTGTATGTCTCTTGGCAATGCATTCAGAATATGTGTGTTTACAATTTTATTTATGTGATTGAAAAATGTGAGTAATTACTTAAAAAAAACCCTTACATCATTGGCTTCTTCCCAGCGGTTTTAAAGAGACTTGCAAAAATTCTATACTACTATACATTTTGTTCATCCTTTAAATGTCAGCACTGTTTTGAGTGTCTGAGCCTCTTTTTTGTAAACTAAGAGTTCTCTGTAAATAAACTGACTTATCCTGGCATTTTTGAAGGTTTATTTGAGGGTGAAGAGAGTGCAGATTTCAAGCCCTAGATGCTGCTTTATTTTTGGTGATAAGGAAGGTGCATAAAAAAGGAAGTCTTAAATTCTGCTTTTCTCAAATAAGAAACAAAAAGTGTAATTTTGAAGAACTGTTGTGGGATTGGGTGCAGTTTAGAAGCAAATAAATCTTGTCAAATGTATATGTAATTAATTTTACTCCTAAGTGCTACCATCAGAACATGTTAATTATGTCTAATCCTTTTATCCTCATTATTTGATTGCGTTAGATGATGTGCTTGTTAAAGGTAAACATCAGTTTATATTTGTGACTAGAAATAGTTGTAGCTTTTCATAAATCCATGTCTTGTGGTTACAGTGATTTATGTTATTTGGGAGTGTTGTGGTTAAGAAATAAAGCAAGCATGGAGAAAATGTGTTTCCAGACTCTTTTGGAGGACTTGCATGCAATTGAAGGAGTTGCATTAGAAACGAAAAAGGAGGGTGACTTATGTAGACTGTTCCTGTTTGCCATTGCAAATTAAGTTGTCAGATGCGTTGCTTGATTTTATGTATTAAACAGATGATTTCAGTTCTCAAGCACTTTAGTTTTGATCAGTTCAGTCTCTTGATTGTTTTTTCCTTAAATTTTGAAAATAACAGCTGAATTTTTTAATCCAAAAGCTACATTTTAAAGTAGATAGTCTGTCACCTACAAAACAGCTTCTGTCTTCCTAAGCCGTAATTGCACGACACGCCTGGCTGTGCACGCTGTTATCCCCACTTTCCCTTCTTTCGTGTTTCGGGCTCAGTGAGCAGGTCACTGGGCTGTGTGTAAGATCAGCCTTGGTAGTGAGTTAACACTGCCCTGATGTTCCCACCATAGCAAGGGTAGTGACCTGCTTTACGAAATGCTTTGAGACCTCTTCATAAAATGTGATAGAGAGCAATGGTTTTGTTTTGATTTGGTTTTTTGTTTAGTAATAGTAGCAATATGATAACCATGTGGGATTATTCTTTTTATATTTTAAAAAAAAGTTTAATTACACTGTTATCTTTATTTTAAAAACTCAAAATAAACAGTGTGTATTATTGTTATAGTGATAAATGTGGTCAGCAGTTAAAATTTCCAGAGTCAGTTATGGCTTTTAGCCAAATGTCTCCCAGTAAAAGTAGGATGATGAATGTAACTTCACATGTTGCAGTTTGACAAAGAAGCAGCGGAAAACAAAATGACTGTGGGTAAACCCACCACGCTGCCTCTGTCCTGATCTGTCTCTTGACCATTCTGATGAATTTTCTCTCTGCCTGTGCCTTGTGTTTAAGCAGAAGAATGAAATACTTTTTCCTCACTTGAGTCATTTTCACTGACTTTTCATCAATTCTATGTTTGTGCGGGAGGTGAAGAGGATGAACTCAAAGGAAAGAATAAACCTACAGTTAGTGTTAAAAGCCTTTCTAGCTATGCTGTTTGGTAGCTTGAACTAGTTTGCTTAAATGCTACACTCTTTTCTTCTGGAAGCAATGAATTTCTTCAAATGATGATGAAAGGATAAGAAATTATTTAAGAGAATAGTTATGTTTCAAATACTGTAAAAATACAAGAACGCTTTTGGGATATAGAATCATAGAATAGTTTGGGTTGGAAGGGATCTTTAAAGCTCATCTAGTCCAACCCCCCTACTATGGGCAGGGACATTTTCAACTAGATCAGGTTGCTCAGAGCCCCGTCCAACCTGACCTTGAATGTTTCCAGGGATGGGGCATCTACCACCTCTCTGGGCAACCTGTGCCAGTGTTTCACGACCTTGATTGGAAAAAATTTCTTTCTTATATCTAGTCTAAATCTCCCCTCTTTTAGTTTAAAACCATTTCCCCTTGTCCTGTCGCAACACGTCCTGCTAAAAAGTTTTCTGCTGTCTTTCTTATAAGCCCCCTTTAAGTACTGAAAGGCTGCAATAAGGTGTCCCTGGAACCTTCTCTTCTCCAGGCTGAATAACCCCAACTCTCTCAGCCTTTCTTCATAGGAGAGGCGTTCCATCCCCCTGATCATTTTTATGGCCCTCCTCTGGACCCGCTCCAACAGGTCCATGTCTTTGTGCTGAGGGTTCCAGAGCTGGACGCAGTACTGCAGGTGGGGTCTCACCGGAGCAGAGCAGAGGGGCAGAATCACCTCCCTCGATCTGCTGGCCACGCTGCTTTTGATGCAGCCCAGGATACGGCTGGCCTCCTGGGTTGCGAGCGCATATTGTCAGCTCATGTCCAGCTTTTCATCCACCAGTACCCTCAAGTTCTCAGCAGGGCTGGTCTCAATCCCTTCATCCCTCAGTCTGTATTGATAACCAGGGGTTGCCCCGACCCAGGTGCAGGACCTTGCACTTGACCTTGTTGAACTTCATGAGCCAACATGGGCGCATTTCTCGAGGTCCCTCTGAATGACACCCCATCCCTCAGGTGTGTCAATCTCACCACTCAGCTTGGTGTCATCTGCAAACTTTCTGAGCGTGCACTCGATCCCACTGTCTATGTCATTGATGAAGATATTAAACAGTACTGTTCCCAATAAGGACCCCTGCAGGATACCACTTGTCACTAATCTCCATCTGGACATTGAGACAGTCCACCCATCAAATCCATACCTCTCAGTGTATATATAATCCATACCTCAGTATATGTGACTGTGATCTTAGGAAGGTACATCATGAAGAAACTTAATTTCAGAGCTAGCTTAAATTCAAAGATTAAAATTGTTTAAGGTATTGTTGAAGAGTTGTCTGTTCCCGTGCTGTCAAGGTTTCCGTAAGGTGATACCCAACTGTATAACCTCTTTATAAGATACGAAATGGGATGAGAGCTATGAAGGGAATAAGCAGTGAGATTTCATTACTGGAAAAGTATGCTTTTTTTTTTTCCTCCCACTAATATTATCTCATGGAGAAATGGTATATGAGTGTATGCGTACACGCAGACACAGCACGCACACCAGACCGTCTGTCTTCTTGTGTCTGACTATGGTGGTTGTGATCACCCAGGAGAACAGGAGTTATAGGCAAAGCAGGAGGCTGATGCTTTGTTCTTTGAGGCATGTTATGCTGGAATTTGGTTTTACTGTCAGATTCCCGATCTGATGATTTTCAGGCTGGCTGAGGTGTAGTGCTGTTTGCTTCAAAATCTGTCAGACTGCTGGGAAGATGTCCGTTGTTTTGAATTACACCTTAAGTGTGTTTTGATTCACAACTCCTAGAGGTCTGAAAATTGCTTTTAGAGAACTGTAACCAAAATACTTCAGCGACTGGAGTATTGGATTGAAGTACAGAATAATCAGCTATTAAAATTCTGTGCATCTTTTCTCCTGGTGGTCTGTAACAACTTTTATGGAGTTCAAAATTTAAATACATTATAATTCTTATAACTCATTTTTATGTTGTTTATTATGAAATACATTTTCCATCCACATATCAAAGTACTACTCAGTTTTGCCATTGAAATGGCTATTTTGTATTCCCTTTACATTGAAGAGCCTACTTTGTGCTCTAAGAATGATGAGAAACTTGTTTATGAAGTTGGTGTGTATTCAACATTAATTAAAGATGGCATTCAGCACTTCCAACAAGAATCTTTAAAAATGGCTGAAAGCCATATTTATACAGTGGCAACCAGGATGCATCTGTGTGATTCTCTAAGACTCAGTCACCATCTCTCCTCTATGGTCATGGATCTTGTGAATGACAAGGTGGGGGTCTTTGTAATGGCTGAAGATTAGCATCCCCTGCTGTTTTGTAATTATCAGAATCTGGACAGTCATTTATTTGAATGAAATAATGCATATAGTTTGTGCCTCCAAAGAAAAGCATACATAATGTGATTGTAAGAAGAGGTTTTCAGTCTCTCAGTGGGATGTCATAGGGTATGTTTATAAACTTCAACCTGGCAGTTGCTCTGCAGTGGAATTCCACTGGTATCGAGATAATAATTTGCACAGTCAAATTGCTTTCTTTACAAAAACCCAGGGAATTATGAGACCCTAATCCTTTATTAATGTCAACCCATAGGCAGCAAGAAAGCGTAAGATTGCCATTCGAAAAGCCCAGGGGAAAAATCTTGAGGCCATCCGAGAGCTGAATGAGTATCTGGAACAGTGAGTGTCTCACAAGAATACGGATTGTGTTTTGCTATTCTGATAAATCTTTTTAATTAAAATGGAATTTGCATTTGATTTACGCTTTTGCTTCCATGCTAGTCATTTACAGAATCCCTTTGCATTCTTTCTTTTTTTCCTTTTTTCCTCTCTTGTCTTCTATATACAGATTTGTTGGAGACCAAGAAGCTTGGCATGAGCTTGCAGAACTTTACATCAATGAACATGAGTAAGTTGTTTGCTGAGTCCACATAAAAACTGTTAAATAGAAACCTGCTCTATGTAAGTCAAAGACCTCAGTGATTTTTTTGAAGGACTAGTGTTAGAAAGTATGCTGTTTCATTTTCAATATAACAAGCATCAACAGGAAATAATTACCAACCTTATTTGACTATCAAATGCTTTAAGAAGGCATTTGATTTTAAAACAGAAACAGTTTAGTTATTTACCTGCATGTTTCAGTCATTTATTCAAATCCGGTATTTTAAAGGAAGTGGTTTGAGTGTAGCAGGGAACAGCACTTATTTCCCATAATTTTTCGTTCAAGTGATGTTTTTTACTAGTTATGGATTTTAAATTCTTTACTTCTAAAATCAGTTGATCACGGCAACTGATATCTGATTTTCTTTTAGCCTACCTCTGCAAGAACTTTTAGTAACCTTTAAAAAAAAACCAAACCAAAACAAAACATGGATCCAGAGTTAGAGGCATCTGGTCGCCTGGGTACAAAACCCAATGCAATCAAGAATGCTGAATGTTGTAGTAACTTGCTTATTGGATATTTAATGTTTTTGTTAGCTTTTTTTATTGCTGTAGTGACAGGAGGAAATCCCAGTGTGAGAGGATTAGCTTAAAGCCTTAGTGCAAGTTTTCTAATATCACAGCATTAATTCTAACCTCCACCCAAAGGCGTATCCTTTTTTCCCCCTTCTTTAGTTCTTCAGCTCAGCCTGAATTATATCACATTGTTTCCTTCCTTCCTTTCTAGAGAGTAGTAAAAGAATCAAATTCTCAAGGAAGAAATAGCCATTCTCACTGTGGGGAAAAAATTATTCCCCCATCACCTCTCCTTCCACCCCATTCTCGAAGAAAATAATTATTAAACTCTTTAAAATGCTGACTTAAGGAATAATCTAGAATTCTGATACCCAGATTTCCATTTGTTTTGGGAAATTGACCAGCCACTTTTCCAAGAAAATAGCTATTTTTTTAAAAAATGGCTAGAAAGATATTTAAGCTTGTCAAATCTGTCGGTACAAAAGTGAATGATAGAGTGGTGCAAACATATGTATTCCACTACTGGGTTGGGGTTTTTTTTGCTATAATCTTTCTTACAAAATTGTGTAATAAAACCTGAGAAAGAAATTGCTTTTGCTTGTATGTGTCTTGGTCTGTAATTCCAATAAAAATAATATGTAGAACTTTCTCCAGTTCATTGAAAAAATTTACTGTGCTCACTGTACTTTTATAAGCATCATTGTTATTATTTTGATGATTAAATTGGGGAAAAAATTGGAATCTTGGCTAAAAAGCAGCTAAAAGTTAATTTTAAAAAAAGGAAACATTTCATCAGCTTACTTGTTTTATCAGTGTCGCAAATTTAGTCTTGCTTGTGAAATCACTGTGCTATTACCATTGTTCATAAACACACTTAGATGTAAAAGGTTTATATAGTCCTCAGTTCTACGCTCTGTTCCGTTACGAGGACTGCGGCTTCTGCTTATGGAGAATGAGGTGGCTACCTTTTTTCTCCAAATTAATATTTGAAATGCATATGCGACTATCATAATGGGCACAGGAGAAAACCACAATATGTTCATTTTAAAAAATAAGATTTTAAGATCATATGGTTTAATGTTGTTGCATAATCGCTAAATTGCTTTTACTGTGATATTAAATATCTACCCACACTGTCATTATAAACATTGCCTCTCTGAATTTTGGAATCCTATCATGTAAACTCTGCAACAGTGCTATCACATGTCTGTAGAAGATGCAAATTCTGCAGGAAACTCTTATTAGTTGAAAGATTATGAAGCTAAGGTTTTTATAATGAAATAAACATAGATTTTGAGATTGACATCTTAATTCTTTCTGAAAGCTTTCATTTAAAGAAAAGTACTAGCCTTTTCTTTTGAAATTATAAGTTGTTGCTCGTTTGGACTGGTATGATGCTATTTTCATATATAGATTTGAACTGTTTGATTTTTAGAACTGTTCTTAGTGTGGTTTTTCGATCTCACTTCTGTGGTTGACTGTGAGCAGGTAAAGTTAACTGACAGCGTAAGTGCTCTGGTCTGTAGCTTGGTTTGTGAATCCTCAGGTAGCTGAATTTTCTTGTAGAAAAAAATGAACTATTTTGTAGTCTGAGTTCAAATGTCTTACAGTAACTAATGCCTGTTTCTACTCATAACTCTTGTTGATCAGAAATGGCACTTATTAATAAGAAATAAGTATATTAAATGCTTTCCGTTAGCTGTTCCATATATACCTAGACTATTAAATTTTGTGTATTTTTCACTATCTATGATGTAAAAATAGTAACTTGAGGTTTCAAACACCATTTAAAAATAAAACATTTTTCTCAATTGTGAATCACGTGAAGTTATAGGGGGAAAAGTAAGACTTCTTTTATTGTGCTGTAAAGAAACTGAGGCAAAGAACTGCATACTCTGCTTCATGTTGTCACTGTTTTTTGTATTCCTCAGCTATGCAAAGGCAGCCTTCTGCTTAGAGGAGCTTATGATGACTAATCCACACAACCACTTATACTGTCAGCAATATGCTGAAGTAAGTATTTTCAGAAAAATCAATTATGTTTGAATACATACTCTGTTTTTATGTTACTGAAGTGGTGAAAATGGGATAAAAATGGTTTCTTTAATTTTTCCCTAGGAGATTTAAGAGAATACACAGAGAATGTTAACATCTCATAGAACTTTACATGTTAAAAAAACTGTGTTTTCTTACTCAGTGTGACTAAGCTAAGTATAAGAGTAAGGGCAGGAATTAAGATAAAAATTCATTTTAAATGAGCTATTCTTGTTGAAGTGTTTATGCACTTTTCAAATTAAGTGCATGAGAAGTTAAACTTTTCCACAACAACACTGCCTAAGAGGTTATGATATATTGCCTGTTATTGTGGAGCCAAATCTTGGAATCCACATGGGAAATTTTGCCTGAAAGAGCACTGGGGGAAGACACGGCCCTTAGAAGCTTTAGCTCAAGGTTTTTAGCCATTTGCACTCTTTTTAAAGGTGTATTTTTTTTTTTTTCCAAAATTATACTGTTAACTGCTTAAAATGGATTTAATTTATTTTGTTAATATGGATAAAATTGGGTTAACATTAAAACTTGGAAGTCTAAATAGCTTTCTGGTAGAAAGACTGTGAAGCATGTCTTCTAGTATTTATCCCTCTTTTTGTTGATCTAATAACAGGCAAAATGAATAGAAAAACAATGGAGTAATCTTCTAAACTATGTGCGCTATTTTGCAGTTGAATAGATAATGAAAGGCATTGTGTCATTTTGTGTACTGGTGTAATGCTGTGTTGAAGGAATATAGAGTTAGTATGGATTTGTAGCAGTCAGAATTTAGCTTTAGATTTAAAGTTTGTGTTACTTTTTGTAAGAGATTGTCCCAAGGTCGTTAGTATGTATAAGTGCAAAATAATCACTTTTTATTCTATTTAAATTAATTAAATTAATGCTGGCTTTTTTCTCCTATAGTTTATATTTTAATATATAGTTTATTTTTTAAAATATTTTAAAATTTGTATATGAAAAGAGCTCAGATTTCTCCCAAGCCAGTATTTGGCCTTTGGTAGGACTAACCTGATTTGAAATATCATGTGAAACAAACCTGAAGTGAAGTTTCATAATATCTTTGCTTCAAGAGTGAATGCCTGAGTGAATGACATGTGCAAGTTTCAGGAGCTTATAATTTTTACAGGTTAAATACACTCAAGGGGGGCTTGAAAACCTTGAGCTATCAAGAAAGTATTTTGCACAAGCACTGAAGCTTAACAACAGAAATATGAGAGCTTTGTTTGGACTTTACATGGTAAGCATGATTATATGTTTTCCATGTTATCATTTTGAATATGTTTTTATGCATGTATATTCTTTACCATTTGCTGTTTTTTTTATTTTCTCTTGGTTTAACTTAATAGCTCAGATTATTAACACTGTTTTTAAATACTAAGTATGGACAATTTTATGCCAGTAAGTACTCCTTACTTGAAGTGCTCTTAACCGTTAAGTCTTGCCCATGTTTTCCGAAGCATTATAATTATTGGCACATGAAGGTAACTTCTTGAAAAAGGATTTAAAGTCATACTCCTCTCTACAGAATGGTGAACTGCCGAAGAGTATCAGCACAGTATGATGGCTGCTTTCTTCTTTCTTTTTTTTTTTTTTGTTTTTTTTAAAACCAGCCTGGGTTTTTTTCGTTGCTTTTTCTCACTCCAATTTCTAAATACAACTTTCTACTTTCAATTTCAGAACGAGTCTTTAGCTTGCACAGCATTGTTGCATTGTTGGCTTGAGTGAGGCCATGACTGCAGTAACTATGGGTAGCATGTACTGACACCAGTTCTTCAGTTTCTCCAAAGATACTGAGGCCTCTACTGAAGATCTTCCTTTAGATCCTAGATCTTTTAAAAGATCTTTTTAGGGACAAAACCAAAAAGGTTTCATATATTGTTTTTTTAAGAATTCTAGGCCACCCTTTTGTCTCTGGGGAGGGGGCAGTTTACAGAGACACATCAGGCAGGTAACTTTGAGGCTTCCTATAAATACCAGGCAATACGAGCTTCCTTTCAAGGACTTGTTAGGCATCACCTTTAAGACTCGGAGACTTGGGCCTAATCTTTTGAGCCCATCTGCAGAGATTCTTGGGTTGGTGAAAGAGAAAAGACTGGCTCCTTGCTGCTCCTTAGGTCATTTAGCTTTTTAGGAGTAAGTTTTGTAGCAAATCTGTTTATTGGCCTAAACTGATTTTTAAGTTATGTATACATATAGACTTCTGCATTGATTCTGGAACAGGCCTGGGGGTTTATTATGGCCATTCTTGGCTTGTCCTCTGTCAGATCTTACGTCCTGCTTGTTATTTTCAGTCTGTAAAGTAGATTTAGAGCCTGTTATCTATGATGATCTGGTTGGCAAACTTCAGCTAATATGACCCAAGCATTTGAGAAACTTTTTGTTTTGGCAGTGCCTGAAAATCATATGCATAAACCCTGATTTGCATAATGCAAGTTCATAACTGCAAAAAATGCGTGTATGCTCTGTTTCAGTTCTTCAGTTTTGCTCGGCTGGCTGCTGTCACATTTCACTAGGTGGTTTTTGCAAGCCCAGCTTGCCATCACTGCTTCTGTACCTACCCTTTGGCTCCTATTTCTTTGCAATGCTGTTTCCAGGCTTTAGGATCTGGTTTTGCTGTGGCTGCTGCTTTTGTACCTGACAGATGTGCCCCGCGTTTGTAGTCCCCAAAGAATGTCCATAACCCTGGTAAATTCTCCACAAAGGCTTTCAGCCGTATCTGCTGAGGAAACTGGTCAGTATTTCATCAAATTCAGGAAACGAGAGAATGATGCCGCATCTTAGGACCCTGACCCTGTACTAGATCACAAATTCAATTCCTGCGGGCATGGCTTCAGAGAACGTGTTGCTGAGTCTGTGGAGGCTGCTTCTTTGACGGTTCTGCTTCTCTTCCATTTCTGGAGGTAGTTTCAGGGAAATAGCTGTAAGGGAACGTTCTTTGAGTTTGAAGTGTAGTACTCATGTAGACATTTGCTTCCATGCTCCTTTTTAAAATCTTCTCTGGAGGTTCTTCATTGATGGATGAAAGTAGGGTTCTGTTGTTCTTTGCATTCAAGTACTTACGCACTCAGAAAGATGTTCTGGGAGGGAGTAGCAATGATTCCTTGTGAAGTAGATTTATTTATATAAGTGGAAAAGTCTCTGAGATGAGTTCTGTTCTTAAGTAATCTTTTTTATTTTTTCAGGTGAAGATGGGCATAGTTTATGTATAGATTCTTACCTGCTTTTAAAATGTGTTTTCTGAAAAAACAGGGATAGGGAAAAATGTCATGTTTTTAATGACAGTTTGGACACACAAGTATGTATTTTACATTGTCTTTGGTAACAAATTGAACAGGGAAAACTAATTTATAACTCTCACTTTAGAAAAAGCAAGTTGGATTAACTGATCATGTCCAGGTTTGGTTCCTAATTCGGTACACAACTGAACTGAACTCTAGTTTAGCTTTAATTAGAAAAAACAATTGTTTAAAAAGTTCAGCTAATTCTTAATTGGATGCTGTTTACCAGTAACTGTTTTTATTTTTTCTCTTTTTCCGCTATCACTCTGCATGGGGCTCTGAATGCAAAGGTGCTGAATGCTCTCAGTTTATTTCATACATATATATTTTATAGTTACACTGTTTTTATTTTTGTATTTCTAGTCTGCCAGCCATATTGCTTCCAATCCAAAAGCAGGTGCAAAAATGAAAAAAGATAATATGAAATATGCCAGCTGGGCAGCTAACCAAATAAACAGAGCATACCAGGTTAGTACATAATTGTTTCATGATACTCTTAATATGCTTTGTAGTTCTTTTCTGCACTTTTGTCAACTGCTGTTCAAGAGGTTAGATACAACGAGTAAATCAGCATAATTTGCTTAGATTTTTTGCCTTCTACTTCTGTTTGATTTCCTGGAAGCCTTAATTAATATAAGGTTGATATTTTACAGTTATTAATTAGCTTTAAACAGATTTTTTCCTACTAACATTAACTGAATGTACACTAGTGTAATGTTGACCTCCAAGACTCAGTTCTACAGCTAAGTATTTTAATAAAAATTGGTATGTCTTAATTCTTAGAGTGACTTGGTTATCTACTTCTATTTTACTAGAAAACAAATGAAAACTCTAGAATTTTATTTTCCTTCCGTTTATCCTGACCTTTCAATATCATGTTTAATGGTGTTCCTAATAATTCCTAATAATAACCATAGTAATTGTGACTGAAGTTGGTTTTGCATAGTTTTATATAAAAATGCCTGTTGAATTGTGAAAACGTAGACTTTGTAGGCCACAATCAAAGCTTACAGAAGTCATTAGGAGTCTTTTCAGCTATTTGAAAAGTTATGCATAAACATCTATATTTGCTTTTGTATTATAAGCCTCTATATTTTTTCTATAACTATGAATGAAAACAGGTTTTAGCTCATAGGTTCTGCAGTTCATGCATCCCAAACATAGTATGTCTATTTGACTCCCTTATAGCTATTCCTAATGATGTACCAAAGTTTATGTATAAGTAATCCTGAACATCAACATCATACTGTCCAGTTCTCCCCAGAACTTTTTCTGAGCAAAAATGTTGGTGTTAAATGCAAAGACTTTATATACATGTAACACTCCTTTCTCTCTGTAATATTTCAGTGTCAGAACCCAATATTTAATTTTTCTCTTGCTGCTGCTGTTTCACAGTTAATACTACCAAATGGCCTTTTGACCAGCTCCATCTATTATGGAATTAAATTAGGATTTTCTTTTATGACCAATGCAGTTTTCTTAATACACTGTATGTCAATTCATTGCCAAGAGCGCAGCTTCTTGTGGCTGACATGTTTTTGATGTATTACAACTTTGAAGTATTTTCCATTTCCCCTGAATGGCCCTGTAGCTTCTGACTGTACTTTACAGTGAAGAATATTGTTTCCCTGAGGATATAATTAAGCATTTTATACTTGTGTGCCTAAAGTTTCTTTCTCTGTTTTGCTGTTTAAATGACTCCCTGCTTTTCATTAATAAACCATTTATGTGCTCATGACAGTAAGGTGTGTATGAATTGCCACCTTTGTGGGCTTTCCCATAAATAAGCAGGACTTCTTTTGACTTCAGTATGTCTGACATTCCTGTAAGCACAATATTGATGTAAAACCCAAGTATTGCAAGATTTAAAAACAAACAAACAAACAAAAAACAAACCCCCCCCCCTGAAGAACAGAATACACAGTGGATTCACAATTGATAGAACAAAATAGGTTTTAAGATGTGTGAATTTTGAGTGAAAACAATTATTCCGTGTTTTACATCTTAATAAAATGAATTGTTTAGATTAGGGGCGGTTTGAACACATTTTAAGTGAATATTATGACTGAAGTTTCCAGTTCAAAGCACCAGTGGAGACCTGTTAGCACTTCTGGGAAACAGCCCCTTTCAAGGTGCATCAGGATGGAAATGTAAAACCAGTGTTGGCTGTGGAATGGTGGCATACCAAGATTAAGACGTAGAAATAGGCATCTCCTGGTTCTAAATATAATGAAAGCTTAGTTTTAACAGTTTGTAGTTACTTGACTCACAGCCAGATAAGCTTGCCTTTTTTTTTCTCTCCACATGGCTTTCTGTTAAGATCACAATATCTCTAACAAAGTATGACTTGTATTGGGGGGG